TTCTCATGAAACTTTCCATAATATGAAGATTTGAATAACCTGCAGCTGATGTCTGCAGACTCTGAACACGAACTTCATAAAAACCTCCCTGTAAAAGTAATGAAGGTGCCTTTTGCGCGCAACCAGCTGACTTGGCGCATCATTTGCAGTTCTCTGTCTTCCTCCCGGTGTCGGTAAAACCCGTCAGAGTGGCACCTCCTCTTTTTCTCTTATCTCCGGCCGTGCCCACCACCCGTCCTGACGTTCCCGCGAATTTTATCCACGCCGCTCCGCCAAATCCACTCATTTTCCCACACCTACCTCACATGCGGCATTTGCGGGGAGAAAGGGGCAGAGGAAAAAACACGCACGCTCCGCTGTGGATTTTGTACACGTTATTGTGTTTTGGATCGAGCGGGTTTGATGGCCGGGACAACTTTACCCCTTCACGACGCAGAGACAGGATAACAGGACAACAATAGATTATAAAACAGTCTGCTGCAGTTCGGCTGCAAGGTCGATGTTGATTTTTTTTTTTTTTTTTTTTTTTTTTTGCTGCATTTTCTCCACCAACAAAATCCCTAAAATATTAATATAGAATCACAGCTATGAGTTTATTTGACTTTTTTTGGTAAGTCTGCCGCTTATCTCATGTGCTTCATCACGCAAACAAAGGGCTAATATTAATCAGCACAGTACTAAAAATGTCGTTGTTAGTTAAAACTAGTTCATATTGTGTGTTTATGCGTGATTTTTCACACGCGTATTGCATGGTTTTGTGTGGTTCCGGAGACTACAGCATGCGATGCCCGAACCTGCACGGAAATTGTTTTTTGCTCCTTTCGCTATTCATTTATGCGGACTGCAATTATAATGTCATTAATTCAAAAATATTATACCATAGTTCTTTTTCCGTGGTCAGACATTAGTGATGAATGTCTCCTTGCCACTCACGAATAGAGGCACGGGCCGTCCCTACCTGCCATATGTCTTTTTCACTGAGGTCATCTGAGGAGAGCAGCGGGTGCAGGGAAATATGGAAAGGTACAGGAGGGTGTGTTTTTTTTTCTCCTCCTTTTTCTTTGGGTGGGGTTTTTGTCTCGCTTTATTGCGGCCACGTTTTTGCGGCACGCCATTTTTTCCCGTGCGCTTTTACGCACACGACACAGACTGAAGGGGATCGGGACTCAAAGTGGAGCGAAGAGATCCTGAAGGGGACAAAAGAAAAAGCAAAAGAGCACCGGGGGGCCAAGTGCTGGCTGAGGTAGTAGTTTGTGCTGTTGGTCGGGTTGACATATTACCCATTGTGGAGATGACTGCGCAATCTACTGCCTTGCCGGCGCTGGTGACTTGCGACAGAGGAATCAAACCGGATCAACATTCATGACTGAACTCACTGGACTGTTTGTAAACAGAATAACCCGAATGGGAGCGAACATGCCTTCATAATAAACCCGTCTCCTGTAAAACTACCGTGCGTAAATTGAATTGAAATTAATGGAACTGTCACACATATGTTAAAATGTCTCTGGTTGTAGATACATTTGTGAATAAAGTGATTTTGATGGTATGTATCATGTGGGTTTGTGTTTCTTCAACTCTCCAACTCTTTTTAAAAAAATGTAAACCCTCTTTCTCAAGTGATAGACAGATAGCTAGATTGTTGTTGAATTAAGACCTGATAATGGGATTTAATGCAGTAGAATTAACCTTCGGACCTGTATAACAGAATTGGTGGAACTCAGGACAAGTTTAGGGAGTGTACGAAAATTATTTGTGGGGGAGGGGCTATGTATTTGTTTAGTTTTTTATTTTTATTTATTTTTTTACCTGAAATCTAATTAAAAGTTACTGCAACTTAACAGAAACATATATCAAAAAGCTAAAAGTGTCCAATAAAAGTGAGTGACTACAACAAAATCGGATAGAATATTCTGTAAAAAGGATGTTTTATTATATCATAATTTTTCCCACAGCTATTGTGTGGCTATGAAAAAAATATTTCATTAGCTACTCAGGTCTAAATTGGTGTCCATCATCTTAAACTCTGTGCACTTTTTGTTTTTAATGGAAAACTAACTACCAATCAATAGTTTTATTATTATGAGATAATCTAGGGGAGCTAATTAACACAACTGGGGATGGTGTTTTTAAGTGTAAAACATAAGCCCCCCTCCCCACCTCAATCATTTTTGTACAGCCCCTTGGAATGCAAGTGGTTTTGGGTCAAGGCAGAAAAGTTATCAACCTCCAGCTGGCCTTACTAGTAAATAAACCTACTGATTTAAGTTGTACCAGTTACTACTAGTGCCAATCAAAGTAACGGGACAATCGTGTGTTTCTCATTGCATTTCCTCTGTGATTGATGTAGATACAACACAGGAAATCAATTTGTGATAATGGCTTTTACCCAGGTCAACCTCATCATCATTAAGATGTGTGTCAGTGTTATTTTGCACATTCAGTGAGCCCACAGTACTGTATGAATCGACCCTGTCCGGCGTGTGTCCAAGTGTTTGTGATTCAGTGAGCACTCCGTAGTTCCTCTAATGAATCCCTCTGCTGTCTGCTCTCAAAGTCTAACTAGTCTTTTGGAGGCCAGTTGACCCTGTTTGTTAGGTTTCGCCTTCCCACAAGGAGAACCCAGGGAATAGACACAGCAACAATATTGATTAGCGTTCTGCACTTCTTTTTTGTTTCTTGCTCTTTCAAATTGATTTGGTCTGGCAACTGATTTGGAGCAGATAGATTCTAGGGACTGTTTGGGCGGTTGCATATTGAGCTTACGTTTACTTGACATTCAATTCTTCCCATTAATGACACGAAACTCATTTTTTACATTGATCTTTAACATTTATTTTTTTTTGTCATTTCTGGAAAAGAAACACTGAAGGTAAACATAGTTTTTCCCCCAAAGTCAGAGTTGCACAAAGAAACATTAAAAATAATTCTTTTTGACTTCTTAAGTTATCTTTTTGTTATACAAAATGTACATTTCACATTCACAAATGAAGAGGTTGAGGGTAGCACAATGGTCACTTAAAAATGGTTCCCCACTGGGCTTCAAACTTCCTCTTTGCTACAGAAAAAAACCTCCCAGTTCTTTTCATTTTCCCATAACAAACGTTATAGCCTAAAGGCAGAAAAACAACAACAGGAGTGCCTACTTTCACAATACAGCAACTTCAAAAATGGAAACCTACAGTCGGGCCGAAGGGACAAAGCCTAAGAGCTTCCCGAAACACAACAATCCACTCCCATGTAATCACAAATGTAGTGGAACTAATAAACCACCTTGGAGGACTCCCTGCCTTTAGAAAATCACTCTTAAAAGCTCAACAACTTTAACTACACATGATAATTGAACCTGAGTTGATGTGCAGCAGTTGGGTGGCACAGTAGGATGACAAAAATAAATCATTCTTTGACATTCATCTATGAGAAAAAGGCTTAATGACAGGTATAGGGATGAACATTCAACCCATTCTGATGCCCCATTCACGCGTTGTCTTGACTTGTTCACAGCTCAAAACATTCGCTCTCTCTGTCAGGTGAAGCCTCGTTGCTCTGTCGAACTGGGACATGCTAAGACAATGGTTGGGTGGCAGCAGAGTAAACAAAGTAAAATAAAACAGACATTCAATAAATGAAATGTAGAACAAGTTTTAAAACACTTGGTAACAAGGTCAAATAGCTTATTTGATGGAAAAACAGATGCAACAGGTACAATAGTAAATAACAATGACATGTATTACAGTACATCATTTTTAAATTAAATATTTCTTTCATGGAATGTACAGGAGGAAAAACGCACCATATGAACTTCAGGCAAATGTAAATGACTGCTGCATGGAGGAATGTAGATAATTGTCAACTGCACAAAAACTAAGATGATAAATAGCCCATGCAACACAATGGCATGTGACGTAAAGTAAAAGTTAAGCATTTTGGGATTTACGCATTCTTTTGTACTGGCAGTGAGTTAGATAAGAAGATCGATACTTCTGTAATATCTGTATGCTTAATATGAAGCTACGCTCAGTAGACGGTTGACTTACCATAAAGACTGGAAACAGTTGCCTAGTTCTGCGCAACAATTACAAAATCCGTCTACCAGCACCAAGAGCTCACTACTGAAATGTAATAACTTTTAACAATAACTAACAATTAGCTCTTTTACACGGGGTTATGTGCCAGTTACATCCCTTGTAAAAGTAGAACAAGTTCATTATTGAGCCTTAGATGTGCTAGTAGTTGGATTTTGTTACCATCTGACAGAGCCAGAGCCCATCTCTAGTCTTTATGCTAAGCTAACTACTAGCTGTAGCTTTACATTTACCATAAAGATATGAGTGGTATAAATCTTCTCATATATTTATCCACCAGAATGCAACTAAGTTAATACAGTCCCAAAATGTCAAACTTTTTCTCTAACAGTGGCTTCCTCATCCTGGCACTGCACCATTTCCACACAAATCTCTTGGATTCAGTTAATCGCCTGTATGCCCTGTTTTATAAAATGAAGAGACATATTCTCACCTTACAGTCAAGCCTAAAGTAAACCAGTGCTACTCCAAAACTCGACATATCCACTATTAAGGTAAAAAAAACTAACCTAAGCTATCACTGTTTATTTGTCATACAATGACTTAACCATTAAACATGCAGTTTTCATTTTATGCTGTCAATTGTTCTTTTTTTTCTCTTCTCTGCTTGGAATCAAACTTTTTTCTTTTAAATAAACTTTTATAGTTATCCTTAAGTTTCACCTTCCCCCAGACTACTTCTCATCTCTGCATCTTAACCCAAGGTGGCTGGCTGAGGAGTGTAGCCTGTGTGAATGCAGAATAACAATGTAGGGAAGTGGTGAAAAAATACACATGCACATCAGTCTCGGAGGCTGTGACACAGTTTTCAGACGACCCTTCGCGGTCACTTTTCTTTCTGAAGTCCACTCAACAAGATGAAAAAAGTGCAAAAAACCCATGATTTGGTTTTGTGTC